TTTTAGCTGGACTGTAATTGTAGATACTCTCTCTTCTGTAGCTGGATTTGTTAGATACTCGGATCCAGAAATTTTTTCCAGGGGGGAGGTCCACCATAGTCCAAAAAAAATTTCAACATAGAAATTTCTTGACAAGCAAAAAAGGGGAGGGGAGTTAGTCATTTACTTTTATAACTTCATAGCAGGACTTTTCATACCAATTTCTTATAGATCTGTGTTTTTGAGGAGGGGTCTGCATTTTCTATGGGTGTCCAAGGTCACTTTTACCATACTTGGTTTAGTATATACATTTAATAGCTCTGCAAATTCCAGATTCCAGGGGACGGGGGGGGGGGGGGGGGGGCTGGGTCCTGCCCCCCCCCCCCCCCTTAAGATCTGGGCATGTCATATTTGTATGGAAACATTCTCAAGTATTGTGATTATACAAACTTGTGGGATAAGGATGGGCAACTATGAAAAATTATTAAAATTCTTCTTCTCAAGAACAAAATACCCATTTATATGAAAGCACTCATTACATGATATTGATTCTAGTTTTTATACCATGAAGACCCCTTAGCATTATGGCCCATGGGCCTCTTGTTTGATAATGTAACAATTAAAAGCAATTTTTTTAGAATATACATTAGTGACAAATTTGTTTTTTACCTGGCAATGGAAAACAAAAAGGCATGAACACTAAATACTTTAACCCTAAACTGGTGCAGTTGTGTTTTTCTCCCTTACCCCCACCCCTCCACTTTTTAAATTCTCTGTGCAAGACTCGTTGCATTTTATGCCATGATAAAAAGATTTAGTACAACTTCCATTGTTTTAAAATCCTACTTTCGGGCCATTTTTCAGGGTGGCTGAGCTTGACAACAGATCAGTATTAACCATAATCAATCACTGAGTGATTGCTCTATTCCCTACGTAAAATGGAGAGATTAATTCAGATTATTTATTGTTTTGAGTGCACCATGTATCATCACATAGGGAAAAAATTGGCACAAAATCCTTTTCCTGTGAGACAGTTAGTGATAGAGTGAGTGATTTAATGCGTTGTTGACTACAAAAGCGGGGACTCCGTGAGAAATAACTCCGAAGAGCGGTGTGGGATAGAGGTTTAATATCGCGGAGGTTGTCACAGATTCTCACCTTGCGTCCTCTCTCTCGTCTGGAGTAAAACAATTATTCTCTCTGCTCATGCGAGAAATATATTTTGTATTGATGATGAGATGAATTATTAATCAACTTATTCAGAGAACAATCAATATCTAACTTCATTATGATAAACCACTTATAGCTTTTAACACCAGCAAGACCAATATCTCCCCACAAGACCAATATCGCCCTGCAATATCTGTCATTCCTCATGATGAGAAAAGTCGTTTTCTTGCTCCTTGTCCAGTTTTGGAAATATGATTTGTTTTGCATTTGCTTTGCATAAAATTTGTGAAAGTGTTGATATATTTGCATTAACTGAATGGACGCAGCATCAGAACTTGACGACATTTTGGAACATGCAAAAACAAAATATTATTATTGTGCTATTTTCAAATATGGCTACTTTCTTGATGTAATTTTTAATTAAGCGTTCTTTGTTTACACGGCGTCGTTGGACTTTGGCGTCATTGTCATTATTGTTGAGAGCCTGCTTATTCATTAGTTGTTGTTTTTGAATACACTCTTTAAAGTGTTTCAAAAAACACAGTCAATTCCACCTAGGTTGTTTGCTCCTAGTTGTTTTTTTTTTTCTTATTGGACATTGCACTCTTTATATGTAGGTCATTTAGCTCCAGGCTTGTTTCAATCGTTTGTTTAATTAACATTACCGGTACTAATTGAGAATTTTTTTTACTCCTTTTGAGATGCCACCAATTGCCACTGGAGGGGTGTAAATTTAGACCTGTCCTCAGGAATTGTTTTTTATATCCTAAAAATTAGTAACAGAGTAAAATTTTCTGGAAGAAAAAATATAGAATATCACTGTACTATATTGTTGGGGGAGTTCAGTTTGTTGGTAATCTAACACAGATTATTACAGTAACTGTAAATCACAGGGGCCGGTAACATACTGTTTTTGATTTTACGTAATCACTATATATATATACACAGATTATTACAGTAACTGTAAATGAATGTGAAATCCTCCATTGTAGGATTAACAACATAGCAACACCCCCCAACTACACTGTGACACTAACCTACTACAAACTACTACAATTTATATATATTATATATATTGATATGTACTAGTATGGTTAAAAAATTGGATGCTGCTAAGTGGCAAATTTACATCGGGAAGCAGCAAAGTGCTCAATCAACCTATTGCCAATGCACGGAAAGTTCAGTATAGGTAAACACAATTATACAATATAAACAAACGGTCAACATGTTATGTACTTTCTATTCATTTTTCCAAGATTATCTAGTAAAATTGTACTATTGTAAGAAAGAAAAATAAAAGTTCAAGGTCACATGCACAAAAAGTATAAAATTCAAGGTCATGTCTACAAAATTGCAAATATGCACTCAAAAAAAATATTGGTGTTTTAATTTTGCAAGCTCACTTACATATTGGCATCAGAGATTCTGTGTTCTGGTTAAGAAAATCTGAACAGTCACAAAGATTTACGGAGCTACAGATCCAAGCATTGTGCTTCACACTCATAAAAATGTCAAAAATCCTGTCAAATTTATGAAATTAATTCCATATCCAACTACAAAACATACTGAATACCTTCTTTATCTTCATTTCCATATTTCCGTGAATAAAAACCATATGTAATATCACATGTATTTAAAAGTTACAGTTTATGTGTTTTAACATTGTTACTTGTATTTAAATTGAACCTTTTTGCTCTGATACTAAGTCTTGTTTCAGAAAGAATGCATGCTATTTCCTAATATAAAATATAAGCCTTAACATCTCTTGTAAAATAATTGATTTTGAATACTTTTATTGATTTTTTTTTTCTCCAACAAAAAAAGATGTCTAATGCTAAAGACCTCAGGCAAACAAGACAAAAAAAAAGAACAGTTACACAAATTGAAACTTCATGATCAGGTGGAAGCATTTCTACACAATAATTTCTAGCTAATTAAAAAAAAATCTTTTTTTCATCCATATTTCAAAACAGTTTTCTCATGTATTTTTTAAAGAATTGAATTGAATCTTTAAAAATAAATATGGATATAAATAAATATTATAACCTAAGTTTGGGGAAAAGAAGTAAACTGTAACAGTTATAGTCTGTAGTCTGTATACCCGGTAAGCAATTTGGGTTTTAAATACAATCTACTGTATCATAATTAAAAGAGTATGGCTTCACCTTAAGCAAGAATGTAGTGAATACTTTTAATCTTACTTATCTTTAGATAGAATATGATACCTTGATCATAGCTAAAATGATTTAATTACATAGCCACAAAAGCAAAATCAATTTTTCATTTCACTCATATAAAGGAAGAGAGTGCACATGCGGTAGAATTGTGTATCTGTTATTGAACCATCACCAGTGTTTGAACAACTAAGAAGTTCAATGTTTGAACAACTGAGAATTTGAATTTTTAGACTATATCCTATCATTGTGAGTACCGTCTCTCTGGTGATCTCTGTCTATATCCGTCTCATCCGATCAGCGTTTTAAAAACCGAGTTATTGATTTTGGAGTTCAATGTTTTTTAGGTTTTTATATTGTCACAGGTGACAGATTTGAATTCTCAGCAGCAGTATATAAATACTAGCTGGAGATTGTCTTTGGAACTGGAAAAATAAAATGGTTTGGTATCCTCAGAGCAACTCAGCACGTGCTTTATAATTAACTTTTTTTCTAGCGATCCAGTTAGCTGCTAGATAATTCTTTTGTTATTTTCCGAGTATTGATTGTGATTACATTTTTTTTTCCATTGAAACAATATCAGTGTTGGAAGAAAATAATATGAAATTCATCAGGCAACTCTCGGCTGAGGAGGCAGACTTTGTAATTACATTAATTTATCTTTACTCTCGTTATTGAAGGACCATTATGTAAATGAGGTTCCAACTTGAACAGATGGTATTGTTCTGTCGTATAGAGATGTGATGTCTGGAGTATTAAGGTGGAAAGTCCCACTTCTAACAGGAGGATCGTGTGAACGCGAGTATAAATAGGTGGGAGGCCACGATTGCCGGCAGATTTCAGCAGATCGGCTCATTTGACTCCGTTGGGAGTTAGAAGTCACTGGGGGTGTCAGAGACGCATTCAGATTTTCCTCTTCCAGTACAGTACAGATAATCTGATTTGTGCAAAACTTTCATATGTTTCTATTCCTTGACTTTTCTTTTGAAGTGTGAATTAATTGACTTACTATATATGTATATATGCATCCCATGCAGGTATATAAATATACATATAAGTAAAGGTTGGAAAAATCCATACGAAACATGACTAACTTAGCATTTAAGTTAATTGTATGCTAGCGTCGGTACGTGCCGGAATATTAACAGTGTATTATACAATAACCGTGTGATCGTCGTCAATGTAATACACCCATAAGAAAAACGGGAGAGTTTGCTTGCCTGCTACCCGGAGTGAAACATTGAAAAGATATGCCTGAGCTCCTTTGTCAACAATCGATGGATTGATTAGATGGGATATACACACACATATATATCTATAGAGTCCTTCTGTTAGGGCAGATCTCCATTGTTCTGTACTATTGTCTGGTGAATGGTTAACTCCAGAGTTTGTCTGGGGGGACTGAGGTTAGACAAACTTGCACACATTGGGTGGGGAAAAATTAAAACGGAACATTTCCTTCTTTTAGTAAAAGTTACTGGCCAAGTGATGTGTAGTAGTGCAAGGAATAACTGTATTTTTGTGCAATGCTCTCATTTTCCATTTGAGTTCAGTTGCCTTTGCCTAGTAAATGGGGAATTAGACATTTAAGGACAATGGGCAAGAGACTGTTGATGGCTCTTAGCAATCAACTTAGTAGTATCAAATCTGTATTTGGTTTTGATGACTCTTCTGCAGAGAAGGAGGAAAAGGCGGTAGCAGGAGTGAAGAGGGAACCTATCGCATCAGAACAGTTCCTCCAAAAACTCAAACAGAAAAAGTCAGACAAACAGCTCAACATAGAAGTCAGGGTAAGATTTTTATTTTCAATTCTTTTTTTAAATTCTATTTTAGAAAGTAGAGAAAGTTTAATATTTGATTTTCACTAGAATATTTTTTTTCATTATCTCCTCTAAGAAAACCGTTTATGTTTACCAAAGAAAAAGAAAACAGTCAGAAATGATTGAATATGAGACACCCCTGGTAGTTTGATGCAGTCAGTCAACAAATGCTGCTGTTGACAGTGTAATGAAGTGTGTATATGCATCAGAAAATTGCAGAGATTCAATGAATTATTTCATGATGGTTTCCATTGATTCAGAAAATCGGCTGCTGAGTCTAAGATTGTCAAAGGAAAACATACTCTGATACTGCATTATTTATTATTGATAGGTCGCTCAAACCTGTCTCAAAAACTAAAATAGGGTGAGAAAATGGCCTCAGGCCAATTATTAAAATATATTAATTTACGGATAATAATTTAACAGAATTTTTCAAACTTTCTTGAAGATAATTTACATTATTTAAATCTGTGTACATCAATTCATTGAACAGTAAGAGGTTAAAATTTTCAGATTTGACTCATTTTCTTTTCACAAAAAATAGAAACTGGTAAGAATTGTAATTTATATGCATACAGCATGTGAATTTATATGCATACAGCATGTGCTACAACTGATTAAATTGAGCCATAAATATTTATATGTTAATACAAAAAATGATAAATAAGCCAGTACAACACAGGCATTTTTTTCTCTACATTTTTCCCCTTGAAAAAAAAAATGAAAGAAAATTAAGCTGGATATTTAATGAAGTATATATACTTCTTAAAATTGAGAAATGTTTTATGTTGCATGGGTTAATAGCTTTATTGTAAAATGAATACCAGTAGTAATAGTCATCAGACTGCTAGAATGTTAATCACTGGATTTTTGAGTATTTTTCTTGCTGACAAAAAAATGCCAAAACAGGAATAATTGCAATTTTATGATGAAATCTTGATATGGTATCCTTAGCAATGTCATACATTAGGTACTAAAGATTCAAGTATTCTTTTTCATATTCATTTCAAATGGCCCTGTATGCAATATGTGGGCAAGTAAAAGAAGCTGTCTTATTGCTAATTAAGTAATTTATTTATATTTACATTTCTGTGGTATTATAGAAATTTAATGGTAAATATAGTCAGGTCCGACGCATGGTTACTATGGCAACTGATTAAAGCTTGATAGCTTCGTACCAGGTGTATCATGTGCATTGGCCTATAAACAGAATTCTCTACCCAGACAAGAGATGCGAGATTTCTGGATACTAAGATACATTAAAAATAAGTCTGATTCTTTTTCTTGATGTTCCAGTGTAATATCTTCCAAGATGAAAATCATAGATTTCATGGTCAATTCATTTTTCAAAAAAAAAATTTGAGAACTATCTCAATGTTTATTTTTTTATAAACCCCCCCCCCCTTTTTTTTTAATGATTTTGATTTTAATTTATACATTTCAATTTGAAATCAATTTCCAAACTTTTAGGATACATTTATTAAAGTTTTCTATTTAAGTTTGCTTCAAATATGTTGACCATTATCAATTGCATTTAAGCATGGGAATACTATAGTATTAAACACATGCAGTGTAACATCAGAGCGAATCTTAAAAGCAAGCCCCAGGTTTTCTTTGCATTAACTTATAGTCTTCAAATTAAAACCATTTAGGAAACTCTGGGTGTATATTTGGTAGGAAGGTGGGGGGGGGGGGGGGTAGCTCTGGGTCTGCTGGAGAACCAGCATTTTTGTTCAATCATTTGTGAATCACCCCATTTTGTTTTACTGCCTTTATCCCCTTTGTCGGCATGTGGCATATTCCAAATACAGAAAGCAATTGAAACAATTTATTGTTGATGTTCAGAAGCGAGTGCAATTACTGAATTTCAAAGTAGTGTCAGATAAATTTCAATTTCACAAAAAAAAAATAGTTTTTAATGTTTTTAGGTCACCTGAGTAAACTCAGGTGACCTATTGCTATCTGTTTTCGTCCGTCATCGTGCGTCGTCCGTCGTCCATCGTGTGTTAACATTTGAACATTTTCAGCTTCTTCTCTGCAACCACTGAACCAATTTCAACCAAATTTGGCACAAAGCATCTATGGGTGAAGGGGAACAAAAATTGTGAATTTCATGATCCCTGCTCCCCTGGGGCCTGAGGGGTGGGGCCAAAACCACTAAAATTAATGCAATCTTTAAAAATCTTCTTCTTTACTCCTGGACATCAAGCAGTCAAACTGTTTGCATGATTGTAATCAGCAATGAGTCCTCTACCAAAATTGTGAAATTCATGGCCCTGGGGTCAGGGGTTCTAGTGCTAGGGCGGGGCTAAATATGTAGGTGGTGAAAATGCATTATTTCTTTGAAAATCTTCTTCTCTGCTCCTGGGTATTAAATAAACCAACTAAGTACATAGTTATGATGAGCAAGAGTGCCTCTACCAAAATTGTGAATTTTATGGCCCCAGGGTCAGGGGTTCTGGTGTTAGGGCGGGGCTCTATTGATTATGTAGTGAAAATACATGAATTCTTTGAAAATCTTCTTCTCTGCTCCTGGGTATTAAATAAACTAACTAAGTACATAGTTATGATGAGCAAGAGTGCCTCTACCAAAATTGTGAATTTTATGGCCCCAGGGTCAGGGGTTCTTGTTTTAGGGTGGGGCTCTAATGATTATATATAGTGAAATGCATGAATTCTTTGAACATCTTATCCTTTGCTCCTGGTTAATATACTAATGATCTAATTACATATTTAAGGCCAGGATTTATTTTATTTTCAGTTTTAAAAACCCTCCGCTCAAGGTTTTGAATTTTCAGAAAAAAATAAAAAAAATTTCTTTCCGATGTCAAATTTGAGTCGGGATCGATATTTCAAATTTACGAACTCGCACTTCCGGTTTTGAGATGAAACGGTGGGTAAATAAAGCTAGAACTGAGAAGACACCTTGGTTTAGTGTAAAATTCATCGATACGAGTGCCATTCAAAACGTTTCACCCGTTCAAAGGACAAATAAAATGCTGACGACTTTTTTGCACAATGACATGCTGGTGAGATAATTATGTATTCGTTTCAAAAGTATCTGACTGTAAATTATTTTCCTCCCCCAGTTTTAAACTGCCCGTGGTAGCTATTGCATATTGCCAGCGACATTGTTTAGGTCTCTGTTATAGCTTACAGTCAAAGCATCATTCAATAGAAAATGTTGCTTATGCATCAGATGTAATGAATAAAACTAGGAGAAGTTAAGTCCATTTGAGGAAGAAATAAACAATAACCTGAAGAAATTAAAAAAAAAAATCAACTATTAAAAGGCAAGAATATACAAATATATACAGGCATGTAGTATCATCTGTATCAGCCAGAAAAATTATTTTATACTTAATTGAAAAAAAAGTTCACCCTACTCCTCAATACTCCCTGTCTGTTTTATGATAGGAATTATAATTTTAGGCTTCAAGTAAATTTTAGAACAATGTCTACACATTCACCTAACACATATTTTAAAAAATGAAGATATATTGAAAGACTTTTAAAGAATTGATTTTTAGAAATATATTTTGACCAACATCACAAAATTTATATAACTGGCCCAGACTGGCAGATGATGAAATAAGCAATTAAATGTTCTACTTTCCTATTGTAAGCATTATGTGTCCAGTGGTAAGGAGCCTATTAGAATAGCATAAAAAAAGATTGAACAATTGTTAATAATTGATTTATCAAAAAAAAATTTTATTTCCTTCTCCTTCGGGACTTTTTTATTCTCATGTTCATAACTAAACCTAAACATAAAAAAAATGCTGGCCTTATAATGAAGAAAGGGGCCTCTTTCAAAATAGATAATTTCAGGGCTGCTGGGTCAGGGGTACCAGGGAGGTACTTTGACTAAAAATGAATTAATGCTTTGAAATGTGCCCTTTGATAAGCAATGGTGCCTCCTTCAAAATTTGTGAATTTCATGGCTTTTGGATTAAAACACGAGCCAAATACAATCGCTGGAAAGTTGTTACATGATACTCAGGTGACCTATAAGGCCCGTGGGCCTCTTGTTTTGTATGGATTACACATTTTGATCGTAAATCGTAATAGATATTATTGATATTTTTCATACATATATTTTCATTCATGTTTACAGATAAGGCCAGGTAAAATTAATCTTTAGATTCTCATCCTAATTTGCAAAAAAATTGGGGCGGGTGGGCGGATTTTATTTTTTATTTTTTATAATTGATAATTTATATATAGGCCTAAGTATCAACAAAACAATGGACACCCCGTACACATTTTTTTCATTACCTTAATGCAAATATGAATAGATTTAATTCTTTTCATATTCTTTTAAATATTTAAAGAATTTTTTTTCTTTAAAAGTTAAATATTTATTGTTAATTAACAAATTATCAAGTACACATTATACGGCACACCCTGAACAAAATGAGGTGGGGATACCAATAAATTGTGTATGCGTGACTTCTTATTTTGCAAAATCTATATAAATGTTCTAATAATTATTCTACTGAAAAATCTAGGCCTTCTCTTTAAGTCTGTCTATGATGTTGTAGATTTTTTTTTATTTCAAAGCTAAGTCACACAGCTGGAGATCGTTATATATACCTTGACTTTCCTCGTCTATTTTTACTTAGTTACAATCTCTCTACATACGAGGGTTGTCCCGTAAAATCGTGGACAAAGTGTTTTTCTAGAAAAGTAATGGGCGCACTAAGCTGAAATTTTCAGTAAATGTTTATTCATCATATTTAAGTGCATCATTATGTTTTTGATAATATATAGACAAAAATAAAGATTTTATTATGCTTGAATGTGCACAGGGTACGGTCCTACGGCGCACAGTAAAAATAACAAGGTTATATTAGAGAATACACAAGAATTAATTCGTAATAAAAGTTTTCAATACATAAAAATGAGATGAAAAGTATCATAATTCGATTCCTTAATCAATTTTGTCGTCTTTATAAAAATTTCAAGGC